GAAGTCTGTATTGATAGTTTGTACACTTTGGCACATAGCGGAAGGGACAGATAACCCATAATTGTATTTCATAGTTTCTTTTGTTTATCGCCCCCTCGATGAGAGACAAATTGGCCATTTCGGCCATTGGCCGGCCAAGTAGCCAAGTGACAAACTGAGAGTGAATTGTATAATTTGTTACTAAAATTTTGTCAAGTTTATTATTTATTTGCTTAACTTATTAGAATTTAGAATGATTTAACATATATGATTACCAATAAAAATTATATTATAAATTAACAACTCCAGTTTTGGTGGTAAAAAATGTAATTACCTCGTCGCAACGTGTCACGTGCGTAAGATCAATCAGTATATATTATCTGATATGCTCAAACTATTTTCAATAAGAAATGTCTCAATCAACTTCTGCGACTGCTAAAAATACTTCGGCGTCAGGGTAAATGCAATGATTTATGATAAATTTAGTATATACGTTATGAGATAAAAATTATAATTTTCAATGAATAGTGAAAGACCAAAGGTCATAAAGACATATGGGAGAGCTCCAAGGTACGTATGTATATAGAGATATGTACTTTTTTTTTCGCGTTTTTTATTATGAAATTCGATTCTTAGTCTTAAGTGTCACGAGAATAGCCCTTCAAGAGCGCAAAACTCAAAGATCGTGGAACTTCAAGATGTATCAAGTCTCCCTAATATTGATGAAAGTCCTTTGCAACATAAGCGAGAAAGTGTTTCACTTTTACCGAAAAAACGCGCTGCAATTACTTGTTCAACTGACAACATTCAAGACTGTTCGCTAGGAGAAGTCAAACAAAAATCTATTAATGATTTTTTCAAATCAAAAACCGTCGTTAGGATCGAAAATTCATCGGATGAAGAAGAAGATGATGGTTCTGGAAATATTATTATTAAGAGACAACGAAAGCAAGCGTATCCTTTGATACCACGATTCAATTCAGAAAATAACGCGAAAACTCACTCATGTTCTACTTCACCGCCAAAGAAACGCGTCAAACAAGCGGAACAAATGTTTCTCGATTTCGGGCAAAAGAATTTCGGTACTTACACATGTCCGGAGTGTCATATGCCTTATAGTCGAGGCACAGTCGAAGATGAGGCAATACATGCAAAGTATCATAAGGCGGTTGTTAGAGGAATTGCTTATACGGTAAAATTCAATTTACAAAAATTTACCATTCATTTTTTTTTTTAATATTGACAATAACTATAATAATTTTATAGAGTTATAAGCATGAAATTATGTTAAAGCAATTTCCAGAGGATAATAGTCGCATAATGATGCTCGTATACAGCCAATCCAATCCGTTTGAAAAGCGAAAGGTTTATCTCATAAAAATGATATCGTTATTTCATGCTATTAATA